CATCCTCAGGAGCTGGTGCTCGAGGTTGAGAAGCATAAGATGCGCTAGCTGCAGCAGATAGACGGCTAATAAAGGAGTCTGTACCTGCAATAGCATGGCAGAAGGTCTGCAGAAACGGTGCTGATTGTTGAACATCCCACATAAGAAGGTAGATTCGGAACTGGCCGAGCATAGGTATGTCGAGTTGGATATCCACAGGGTTGGAGTCGATATATCGAGTCACCTTGGCGGGAGGCAGAAGGCATCCTGGCTTGGCGTCTCCCATTACAAAATGGTTGTTTCCAATTCCTGGCCTGTTGATGGCATTCTCACCATATTCAGCACCAATTCCGGAAATGAAGCGAACGTTGGTCCTGAAGTTCTCAGCGAGTGCAATAGCGTCGCCACCGGCAATTTGGTTCGCGTGCTCATAGTCAAAGTTAACCAAGTCCAAGGCAATCTTGCGTCGCTCTTCCTCGTAACTCTCAAGAAGATTTGGCTTGGCCAAGCCTCGAACCGCAAGGTTCAACTTCCACGACAAATTCCATGAGTCGTGCATTGAGGTGTTCATACCCTGCGCAGACTTGGGAGAGTGAGTGTGGCTGGCGTCACCAGCCAGGAATGCCCTCAAGTGGCCATCAGTGAAGCGACTAGCAACCCTCTGACCAACCTGATAACGGCCGAACCACTCAACGTACTTCCAGTCCAAGCGGAACGGTGCCATAATCTTCTTCGCGCGCTTCATCATGAACTCCTGACCCAGATCGCGGCGATCAAATTTGGCACCAGCCTTCAGCTCAATATAGAAACGAGTCATATTCCTCTCTCGAGGAATGATGAGAATTGAGCCGTGCTCCTGCGAGTAGACGAGCGTCTTGGACCAAATATCGGGGAAGTCGGTAATCAGTTCGCCGTCGAGAACGCCCCAAATGGCAGCCTGAGACATGCCGACAGCCTTGACATCGGGGATACTCTTGCGAACCTTGGAGTGTGCGCCGTCACCTGAATAGTAATGTCAATTTCTGAGCGTATAATAAGTGTGAGGATTTGCCACTCACATCCAATCAGGTATTGAGTCAGAACCGAACGCTTGTCCTGATTGACATTGGCACGACAGTTGACTTGGAGGGGGCCGGTCTTGTTGTCAGGGACGCTGTACGACTCAAAAGCCATGTTTCGACGGACCTCCTTGCCACGCTTTTTCATATCCTCAAGAAACAGCCCTTCGACCATACCTTGATGGACTAAAAGAATATAGGGGTCGAGAACATCGATAATAGGGGGGTAATGGACTTCGCGACCAAGTCGACGAAGAGGTTCGTCCGCAGTGCTACGCCAGAATGCGATATCGAAGACACGAACACCTTGTTTTAGCAAAGTATCTGATAGTCGCATTTGTCGGAATGTTTCGATCGTCTTTGGCTGAAGGCCATCGGCTCTATTATCGAGGTCAATTGAGTTGTTTCAGTGGTACAATTGAATCGTGGTGATAAGCTTACCTTCCCACGGGCGTCTGATCGGCTCGATCATCAATTACCTCAACGTTGATGCCGAATCTGGTCAGGTTTGCGGCCAACATCAGACCGGCAGGTCCTGCACCAACGACACATACTTGACATTCTAGCGGAGGCTCAGGAAGACTACGAAGAAGAGCCAGAGGATCTTGAAAAGGAGGGGGAGAGCCTTCCTGGCGCTCACGATGTGCTGGAAAGGGGATTTCCATTTGGTCCATGTCGTCAGATTGGACAATGCTAGGCACCATGTTAGAGTGGAAGTATTTGGGATCACAGGATCATGGACGACCTCTGTCGGTTCAGACTGTTGACAGAGTGTCGTCCGGCAGTAGTTGCGAGAGGTAAAGGCGGCGGAGGCTTCCGAGTCCAGGTAGAAGATGCCGCAGATGATCAAGCTGGCGGCAAAACGACGAGTTTTGTGGAAAGCAAAGTATATTCGGTAAGGTGATACTCTCCGAGGAAGTCTGTCCACTCAGTTATCGAGTGCTGTGCGTATCACACCGGAAGCGTTATATGAGATCCCCGATATCGCCTGATGCGAAAAGGCCGTCGAGATCGAAGTCGCAAAATTGAATATGTCGTAAGATGTGTTTTTGGAGATTTCGTTCGAGCAGATCGCGTAGTAGTATTAATTGGATATGTATGATAGAATAGATCGATCGGTACGGATAAGTGTATGGGGTTTCGAGGTCGCGGGGCAGAATGGCCGAGTAACTATTGGACAGGCTGAATCTGACTGACAAGCTACAACCGAGACGACAAGGATTTGTGCAGATATGCAGGCTACGATGAGAATGGCGAACAAGGTGGACGAGACGGCCACAGCGATGGCACAAACGAAGATACAGACGATGGACGACGGAGCACGAAGAGGGACACCGAGGTGAAGAGAGAATAAGAGAGGGGCTGAGTGTGAAGCTATTCCGAGCCTCAAGGTCAGATATAGGAAATACAGCACCCACGAACGGGCAGGTACCGGATTTCGGGGGCTGATGGCAAGTGACGACCGGGGTGCTACGATGCCCTGGCCTACATGGATCAAAAAGAGACAGAGAATGGATGGGAAGGGCCAGCCCAGGGTCGAGGGCAACAAGGGCAAGTGAGATGGGGTCACAATTGCCTGGAGCAGAAAAAATGGCATGACACGATTATCGACAGCAGGCGGAGGCAGGCGACGCCAGACCTGACGAGGAGACAAGAAATGGGCTGATTTCGCGGGAGATTTTGCTGGTTCGCTGCCACACGGTCCACTCAGACGACACGGTTGACACGTTCAACTGGGTCTAACTTCCAGGGCCCTTCCTCAAATGCTTCCGCCAAGCTCCTTCACTCTTTTTCAATGGGTCTTTCCTGTTGGAATGCAACTTGAAGGGATCCACATGCTGTCTCTGGACCTGTCCCCGCTTGACGATATAGCATGTGATTGGACGATAATTGATGAATTGAAGGCTTTTGCTAATCCCAAAGCCAAAGCACCAGAAGTTTTGAAGAAGAAGAAAAGGTGAGACAGCCCGGTCGGCATCATCGCTTTTGATCAGATCCAAGCGCAAGCATTGATATTGAAGTGTAAGTATCTCTGAAGAAAATAGACAAATCGATGGCAGAAGATAAACACCGCTAGAAGGAAGGTCTGGAAGGCTAGACCACGGACCAGGCCATGCACCAAGACCTAGACCAAAACCAACCCTCTCTCAACACCACCATCTTCTCCTCTTTGACAATGACATTTTGGACCAAGACAAAAAAGACGTTGAACCCGTGCCACACGCTCGCACTATTTCGTCAAAGAACCCACTCCTGCGGCTTCTAGTCTCCGATGAGAACGTGGTGTGTCCGGTACCAGGTTGTGTGTTTACTGCTCTGACAGCAGCAAGGATCATGCACTTGTTATGTACGTAGATGAACTTCTCGTACAATATTCAGCCCGCATCTGCTAACCTGTTATACCGTTTTCAGCTTTGGTCCAGTGATTTGGCTGCGGTCAGGACAGGAACGATGGAGTAACAGAGTCTGACATCGCATGTTATTAAGTTCCTTTTGCCTCTTCTCCCATACGCCTGCAGGAACTCAGGGTCTTTGAGCCAGGAGGCCGTTCTCAGGCGGTGTCATTATCAAGCACGGCGAGTGGGTGCGATCCATCAGTCTGACACCGGTTTCCCCGGCCTTTTGTCTGAAGTTTTGTAAGTCAATGACATATCCGGTTAAGTCTTGTAGGTTATCAGCTGAAGTTATCTAAAGTCGGGGAATTGGCAATATGCAGCAAAGCCACACCGTAAGTTGTGTTATATATAGGAACCGTTTCATTGACTCAGATGGATTGGATCTGCTGGCAGTAACACACAGATTCAAACTGATACGTGCAGGTCTTAGCCCAGGGCTCATGTACCTGATATCGTCTTATGCAACAGAAGATGCATGCATGCAGATTCAACGCAACCTGCCAGAGTTGCAATTTCCTCAACACCGTTTGTTGGTTACTCAAACGGACGGCCACAGAGTTTTCACAAATTCTCAGATTCTCATAGTCTGCTATTTCCTGTCCAGGATGAACCCTGGGTACAGTCCGCAAAGACCCATGCTTTACATGTTACGCTGCCACATTTCAAGCAGTTGAGCTGACGATGGAGCCCTTTACCACGATATGCAGCGAACGATGATCATCTCATGATATACAATTGAACAAGGTATCTGGCAGAACGGCCCCCCTTTTCACCTCGATTGCATATGCAATATGTCAAACTCATCACAAATATTGTATATGCATCAGCATCGGAGCTGATCCTTTGCGCAATGCAGCGTAAGCGACGCCTCTCATCTCATCCTGTTCGTAGGTGCCGTGCCCGTTCATCCATTGGGAGCATTCCGCATTGGAGCCAACCCAATTACTGGATGTCAATCTGTTGACTCATTTATCGCGTCATTATATGGGCTCATCACTCGAATTATGCCGCGCGTTATGTGCATCCTGTTAGAGCGGCATGTCTGAGTGCTCTTAAATCAGTCAGTTGGCACCACCAACATGACATAACATCCGGGCTGGGACATCACCAACACAATGGTACTCTATTACATGGATGACCTATAACGCACAGGCTGGTTCGGACTTAGGCGTCTGGGCAGCCCGAGCTCCCACGCACGCCCTTTATAATTGGACCTTGGGTCTTGTCGTAAGGAGTGACACTTCGAATAGGCACGAGAATAAGTTTATCACGTATCTTTGTTTGAAACTCATGGGCCCTGCCTCAGTAGACACGTATGAAAACTGCAATATTGCATAAGACAACGGTTCATAATGTCTTCAGTGCTCTAGTGTCCCATTCATCTGTCACCATATGCTTAGAATACGTTCCTTGACAGTGACAAGTCAATGATATCAAGACCAGTTCCGTGTTACCTACCACAATTAGTCCCATACAATGTGATAGCATACAAGTGGTACAAGATGGCAAAATGAAACAATAGCAACCACAATTGATCCGCAACAGTCTAGTAACAAGGCAGTCTTGATCAAGACACCAAAACCGTACTGGCGGTTGCATTCTCGTCAGCTTCCTTCTCCTCACCACTGTTCTCAAGGGCTGTGTCCACGTCCTCAATGACTTGACGACCACTGAAGTTCTTCATATAGGCCTCTGCCTTGGCTCTCACGGGAATTGCATACCAGTCCGGTTGCATACGTAAAGCAGCCAGAATGGTTCCCGTGCCAGGAATCACAACATGCCCACTACGCCCTGTGAGAACCTGCCTAACCACTGCATCGGCCACCGACTCGGGTGCAAGTGGTGGCATCAAGAAGTCGGTGTTTTGGTAGTATCCTTTGAAAAGAGCAGTGTTGGTGGGACCTGGGTGGACGATTACAGTCCTGACCTTGGGCGCATTATATCTGGTAGTCAACTCAGCGGTCAAGCCTTCGTGGAAAGCCAAAGCAGCTGCTTTTGAAGCACCATAGTCTACCAGGTTAGGTATTGTCAACCAGCTCGCATAAGATGTCAATGTCACAACCATGCCGTGGTTTTTAGCGACCATATCAGGAACAAATGTCTTTGCTATCCAAAAGGGCGCAAAGGTGTTGACGTCAAAGGTGAAGCGGATATCGCTGGGCTGAGACTCCAAGATAGTCTTGCCCCTGACAACTCCAGCCACATTGATAACCACGGTCGGATGTCCCACCTCAGCTCTAATTTTTTCGGCGACCGCCTCGACGTTTTCGGGCGATCGTAGGTCGCATTGAAAGTAGTGCACGTTGGCCGCTATTGGGTGTGAAGTCAGCCTCCTCTTCCTATCCTGAGCCTGAGCTGGGGGTCAGATGTAAGAAGACAACATACAAACTTCGAAGGACATGGGCTGAACATCAAGAACGACAACTTTGACGCCCATTTCCTCAAACAGCTTCACGATTCGCCCCCCAATACCTCCCGCACCACCTGTTACGAGAACAACTTCGCGCTTCCAGTCATACTTGTCGTCAGCCCAGTTGTTTCTCGTCTTATCGGACCACCATCCGCTGGCCCATCGCGCCAGAGCAACGTAGAATAGCGTTTTGAGGTGGCTGGAGGCGTTAGGATGGAGAATTGATAGATCTTGACCCTTCTTGGTGAGGCGAGCAAATAGCACGAGTGGAAATAGGAGAGCTGGGTTGAGAGCAGTCTGACGAACGAGTCGTAATACAACGTCAGCGCAAAAGCCTTCTCGTGGGATGAGTCCTTGATGGATCGGCATGATGGCGTTTGCGTCTGGTGTAAGTCAATATTTTTTTGATCAGATTACACCGAGATACGACTACTTTTTCATATGGAAAACAGACAGTGCACAGGTCCAGGAGAGCAGCTCAAGTACTCGAACGACGCACTTTGCGCCCCGGATGCGCATAGGCATCTCTTATGGAAGGGGAATGGGCTTGATGCATGGTTCTCATGATGGAGCATGCAAACCGAGGTTCTTTTCCACGAACAGCTACCAACTCGCTGCTCGCTGCAGTAGTTAACAGGGATGAGGAATCCGGGGTAATACTCGAAGAGCTATTCGTCAGGGTTCTCGTAGCAGCTCCTACCGAACAACACCTTTGCTTGCGCCAAGCTGGACTATCATGAGTTAGCCATTGTTGTGGATTGTTCCTCGGCATCATGATGACCCCGCAATTCGATCGCCTTGTAAAGCCATGCTGAACGGGGATGGTTCCTTAATTGGCATGGTAGATGATGGTTGACATGGCGATTTGGTAACCTGCATTGGTTAGTGGGATTTGAAGATGTGCAACAACCCAAGACGAGGTGTTTCAACTTTCACGCTCAGACTTTGGGACTGTGATTTATTATGGCGTCTGAACGAATAATGGATTACTGGAACAGGTTGCCGGAATACGATACACTATATGAAAGAGCTTGCACTTAAGTGTAAGTTGGGGGGTATCAGAATGTTAAAGGGCTACCTAGTCAAGATCGTTCACAATTAAATCGCCACGAACAAGCTCACCAATCCAGCATATACCGCCAGCTTCGAATCTAGGTCAGATCCCTTCGAATCCTCACCACTGGCTTCAAGCTCGGTCGAGTCACCTGGCGCAAACAAAACGCCCACTTCATTAGCTGCCTCTGCGTCGATTTCTTCGGGCGAGAGTATATCATTCGATAGCTCAGCGCAAGACGGCCGATCACCATCTTCAGGAATCAAGTTGGTGACATTGATCGGAACATCGAAGATGGTGTAGTGGTCATCGCCGTTGAGCCTAAAATTTTGTCGGATGGAAATCTGGGCATATTGTCAGAACATATTCTGATAAAGGGGATAGAAGTAGGTATTGCTCACGTTATAAACGCCACGGTCACTATCTCCTTCAGGTTTTCCATCGCCAACGAGGCAGTCAGGCCACAACCAGTTGATATGCTTGACCGTGCTGCCTGGTTCTTGGGCCATGATCTCGCCGAGACTTACATTATTAGCGGTCGCCGTTCCATTGGAGATGGTCAAGTTGCGACCTGTCATGTAACTGTAGAGGAACATTTCGATACTGAAGATCTGGTTATCGTCATCTTCGTCATATGGTGGCAACGGCAGCTTGCCGTTGGCGGTCACGTCTATAGCCACGTGTAACGTATCTTGTATCAACAATGTTATTATGGTGAAGCTATCGTCGGCGGTGTAATGCCAACTTACCTCCTCCAAGCGGCGTGTTCGGTTGAGGGGCATCCAGCACCACAAAACCAGGTGTAAAGATCTGGCCATTAGAAATCGTAAAGTTCAGTCCCAGCGCGCGCCCAGCCATGAGCAGCACGGCTGTCAGTTGTTGCTTCGATGATAGCATTATTTGGTAAGTAGGTAAGTAGGTAGGTAGGCAGTATCAAGTATAGGTACTCGACAAGTCCTAGCAAAATTGAGGTGTGAGAAAAGGTAACGGCAACAACAAATTTACCATCGCGGGAAGTACGGCACAGGAACCAAAATGACTACATCTTCTTTTTGAAACCGGAAATTGGGCTTGGCCGAGCATCCAATACAGCTGCAAAATCCTTGGGAGATGTTTGAGGACGGGGGCTTGGTCCTTGATTAAAGTAAGATTACAAGGGTATTTATTTTACCAGTATATGAGGCTAAGAATATAGATAATCGGGATGAATGATTGTTTCTCAGTCTTTTATCTTGAACTGATGGCATTCCGAGTTCGTTCTGGGACTTGCTTGGCAATAAAAAGCATTGATTCATAAAGATCAGTTATGCAATATGATAACTAATCGTTCAACCATTTGTATTGTTGCACTGCATTCATTATGAGGGGATGTTTCAGAATCAACTTGACAGGGATTCAATAATCATGGAAATTTAAGATGCATCCCCGGCTCAAGAAAAGAAATACTGTGTAAAGCCCAAGAATCAAGAATGCGAAATATACAATGTTGGCTTTTCGAGATGGAATTCCCACCTCAGTCACCAACGCGCAGCGGAATTACTTCCTTGAGTGCCACTTAGGAGCCAATGAATCGCTAGAGTGTCGGGGCATTCACTGGCGGAGCCCCCCGTAGCCAAGAGCTAAGAACCACCAACACCGCCTACTCAGAGCAAAAGATCCTCTTGAGTTACCAAATTGGCGGCTGTGGAGCTCTTTTCCTTTATCGTGACAGAAGATATCTCACGATAGGAGAGTCATTGGCTTCTAAAGGTGATCGCTAATAGATGTGATCCGAGGCTCTTGTCATTGCCAACTCTAGCGCTAACTCAAGTTGTCAGGTCAGTTCCTACAACCCCTCCTCTCAGTAAAGGTGATCGATCAGCTTCAAAAACATCGAATCTTGATTCAGACACGTCGTTTTTTGCCCATCTTGAATTCCAGGGACTCCAGCCCGCCCTTGCTCATCGGTGTACACTCAGTACAGTATATCCAATATGCGGCTGTCAAGTCTCATCGCCCGGCACGGCTCCGTCCTTCGGCGCTGTTCCGGAGCCGCATCTCGGCCGGGCTGTTCTTATTCTCAACGCCGCCTCATGAGCTCCTCCTTGGCTGGTATCAAGGACTTGCTCAAGATCTCGGACGAGATTACAGATGCTGTTGCCACCAACAAACCCATCGTTGCACTTGAGTCAACTATCTACACTCACGGAGCTCTTGGCAATGAACTTGCTCTCCAACATTCAGATCTTGTCCGCAGTAGTGGAGGTATTCCCGCCATCATCGCCATTGTTGATGGCGTTCCTACTGTTGGAGCAACGGCATCTGACATCCTTCGCATGATTGAGAGCGGAAACGCTGTTAAAGCATCCAGGAGAGATATTGCCTACCTTGCGGGAATGGTAAGTCAAGTCCGGTACTGATTTTGGTCATACCTCGTCCGTGTAGCATTGTATCCATAAATTGGTCAACATATTTGATATACATGGGCTGTAAGGCTGACTGAAATTTGCTTCAGGGTTTGACAGGACAGAACATTCACGGCGGCACCACCATATCAGGGACTATGTTGCTCGCCAGGCTTGCAGGCATTCGAGTATTTGGTACTGGTGGCCTCGGCGGCGTTCACCGTGGAGGCCACGACTCAATGGACGTTTCTGCTGATCTCACTGAACTTGGCCGAACACGGGTCGCTGTCATCAGTAGCGGTTGCAAGGGTTTCCTTGATATTCCCAGGACGCTGGAATTCCTCGAGACCCAGGGTGCTCATGTGTCGACCTTTGCAGACGGGCGATCTGGAAAGATTGATTTCCCAGCTTTTTGGGCTCGTGATAGCGGCATCAAGAGTCCTTCTGTTGTTCACACTGAGAAGGAGGCAGCTGCTATCATTCTGGCCCAGGAGAAGCTTGGGATCGAGTCAGGCTTGCTCTTTGCCAACCCAATACCGGAGGAATTTGGCATTCCCGCGCCTGAGATGCAGGCCTACATCGAGCAGGCTGTCAGGGAGGCCAATGAGAAGGGTTTCACTGGCAGCGCCAACACTCCGTATATCCTGGGTAGGCTCAAGGAGCTCACAGGAGAGAAGGCCGTTATCGCCAACAAGGCGCTGGTAACGTCCAACATCACCCGGGCCACCAACATCGCTGTCGAACTCTCAAAATTGTTGTCTTCTGGTTCCGGGCCAGGCAAGACTTTGTAAGTGCAGCGGTGAATGGTGTCGGACGTAAATCTAATCGTAGCTATAGCAATTCATATTCTGCCGCTTCATCTGCACCTGCATCTCCTGCTCCTAATGAGCTCAAGGCGCCAGAAGTAGTGTCTGACAATAAGGTCGATATCCTTGTCGCTGGCTCTGTCGCTGTTGATCTGAGTTGTGACTATGCCCCAAAGTCGGGTGACCCTTCACCCGTCCTCCACACCTCGAATCCATCTAGTATCAGCCAGTCAATCGGAGGTGTCGGCCATAATGTAGCTCTCGCTGCCCACTCTGTAAGCAAACATGCTCGAGTACGGCTCTGTAGCATGGTTGGTGATGACGTGTAAGTGTCCCCTCGTATCAAGATCTCACCCTCACTGACGTGCTGTAGTGCTGGCAAGACCATTCTTAATGGACTCAAAGCCTCCGGCCTTGACACCACCTACATTCGACAACTAGGCCATGAATACCACGGCTCTAATAGAACGGCTCAGTATGTTGCTGTCAACGATGCAAACAAGAATCTAGTTATGGCTATGGCCGACATGGGCATCTTCACAAACCACTCTTTTCCCGAATATTGGATGTCTGCCGTCCGGGGAACCAAGCCCAAGTGGTTGGTAGTGGATGGTAATTGGAGCGAGAAAGATATTCGAGCATGGCTCAAGGCTGGCCAAGACCAAGACTGCAAGATTGCATTCGAACCAGTATCGACAGCCAAATCTATGAACCTTTTCTGTTCTCAGAAAGGGCATCCGAAACTTAGAGTCTTCCCTAGGCCCACGATAGATATCGCCTCTCCCAACAGCTACGAGCTGGCAGCCATGTACTCCGCAGCTCGCGATAACGGCTACTTTGAGGCACCAGAGTGGTTCGATATCATCGATGCCTTTGGCATGCGAGGTGCCCGAGATCGGTTTATTAAGATGACTTCAGCCGAGCTGACTGACGCTGGTGTTCCTGTTCAGTCTGTTCAACTACTTCCTTATATTCCGACTATTGTGACGAAACTTGGTCCTCAAGGTGTTCTCCTGACCACTATCCTCCCAAAGGATGATCCCCGTCTGAAGGATCCTGACTCCGAAGAGTACATCCTTGCTCGCTCGCTGAGCGACCACCCCAGCGTTGGTGGGCTCTATATGCGACTATTCTCTGCGGCTGAAAAGGTTCAGAACATTGTATCTGTCAACGGTGTTGGAGATACCTTCTTTGGTGTTTTAATCTCTGGATTAGCTCAGGGTGGAAAAGTCGAAAACCTCATTGATGTTGCACAAGCTGGCTCATGTTTAACACTCAAGTCTCCTGAGTCAGTGAGTCCTGATCTACACAGGCTCGAGAGTGTGTTGGCACAGGCAGCAGCAGAATAGCGGGAGAAGGACGATTGAATACCCTAAGTTGATTTTACTCTTTCTTCTGTTCTAGATTTCCTTGCAATTCCTAGCATCTGTGCTCCTGGAAGCCTGTAAAGACCACTGTGAGCTCGCCAAGCTCATCATTGAGGCGCATTCCTGGGTAATCTTATTATCAATGTCAACTTTCTAGGAATATTTCAGCCTCGGTCAATCTTCCGTATGATTGGTCACTGCGCCACTAGTGTTAAAGTCAGAGAGCCAATTGTAGAGTATCGCGTGCGCAAGGCTGCGCTGGCCCTCTAAAAAAATTCCATGACCATAAACATTTCCAAACCAGAAACCGCAAAGCTTACTCCAGTGAGCCGAAAGACAACAATGGCGCCACCACAAGACGAAGAGATGTTAGATCCCTCATCTTCCTCCTCCTCGGAGAATGAATCTCAATTTGACTCCGAAGATGAAGTTCCTCAAAAGAAACCAACCATTGCGCTCTACGATAAAGATTCGGACGAGGAAGAGTTGGAGCGACTTGTTCTAGGTAATAAGGCAGGCTTCCGAGCGCAATTGTTCAAAGACGATGGAATTTTTGATAGCAGCTGGGACGCGGAGGGTAAGGAACTTCAGCTTGTCGAGCAAGATCCTGGGCTGGAGGAAATCGACGACGCGGACCTGTTCATGTTCGACACGGGTACTGGAACAGGCGCTGCAGAGGTCACAAAGGCAGCAAAGCCCACTGATGGAAACGCTCCTGTATGGGAGGATAGCGACGACGATAGACTGGCCATTTCCCTGGCTGGAGCCACTCGGTTACGAAAGCTGCGAAAGACGGAGGCCGAGGATCTTGTGAGCGGAACAGAGTACAGCAGAAGGTTGCGACAACAGTACCTCCGACTCAATCCCCTTCCAACGTGGGCGCGCGAGGCAGATGGGCGACCTAGCAAGCGAAGGCGATCCTCTGCGGCGTCTGACTCTTCAGCAGACAGCGAATCCGACCCTGAGATTTCTGCTCAGCCTCTTGAGAAGTTCCTTCGCGACGTCAACAGTCTGGCCGGGGCTGGATCGACCAAGAAGAGGCGCTTGCGACCTGAAGTCATTGACATCCAACGCACACGAGAGATTCCAGACAAGCACAAGGCGCCTGTCGCCAATCTTTCCTTCCACCCCGAGTTCCCGGTCCTCCTTTCCTCCAGCACCGCTTCTGTCCTCTACCTCCACCACATCGCGCCAGCCGCTCATCCTACACCCAATCCTCAATTGACTTCAGTACAAGTCAAGCAAGTCGATGTTCGAAGGGCCGAGTTCTTGTACCCTCGGGGCGACAAGGTGTTCTTCGCTGGCCGACGAAAATACTTCCACCACTGGGATCTCAAATCAGGAACGGTGCAAAAGACGGCTCAGATCCTTGGTCACAGGCTCGAGCACAAGACCATGGAGCGATTCAAACTCAGCCCATGCGGTCGATACATGGCTATTGTTGCATCTACCAGAAAGGGAGGCGGTATCATTAACGTTCTGAACACGACATCTATGCAGTGGATTTCGGCTGCCAGACTGGCTAGTCAGAATGGCATTGCAGACTTTGCTTGGTGGAGCACTGGAAACGGTATGACTATCCTTGGTCGAGATGGTCAGGTTGGCGAGTACAGCATGGAGAGCCGCTCGTTCTTGGGAATATGGCATGATGAGGGTTGTGTTGGTGGTATTGTCCTCGGTCTCGGCGGACATCAGGGTCCAGCTGTCCTGGGCGATGATCGGTGGGTCGCTGTAGGTTCTAACAGTGGCATCACCAACATTTACGATCGGAACGAGCTTGTCGTACTCAGGTCGGAGGATGTATCTATCAAAGAGCGGCCAACACCTGCAAGAGTCTTCGAGCAGCTTGTCACGCCCATTACACATATTGCTTTCTCGCCAGATGGTCAGCTCATGGCTTTCGGAAGCCAACATAAGAAGGACGCTTTGCGCCTTGTGCATCTACCAACCTGCACCGTGTACCGTAATTGGCCTACGGAACAGACACCCCTTGGAAGAATCACTGCAGTCGCGTTTGGGAATCAGAGTGACTTGTTGGCGGTTGGTAATGACACAGGGAAGATCAGGCTTTGGGAGATAAGGAGTTAGATATTTAATGGACAAAAAACGGCGCATGGCTATCTGCAATCAATATCCTCTCATCCCATTGATGACCTGTCCAGTATCCAATATCATATCTTGTGTCTGATCCTTCTCCAACGGACAGACATGGGTCAGTTGAACATGTGCTTCAACAGCGTCCGAAGTGGGCTACCCTTGGGCAGCTGGCGTCGGGGGAAGAAAGCTCCCCTCTTGCGCGTCCAGACAATAAGTTCCTTTCTACTCTTGAAGAGTTTGACATCATCGGGCCTGTTCTCACATTGCAAGAACTGCTTAATGTTGACGTTGATGCTCTTGAGCGCCTACAGTAAATCAGCATCTGGAAGATATCACGGGTATCTGACAACTGACGTCTCGGCATTTGGTCTTGCTAGGAAGATTATTCGGTAGGCCTAGATCGGCACAAAGTCGCTGAAAGTCTTGTAAGGTGCCTTTCTTGAAGTAATCGTTCCACTGGTCCAAGAGGTTCGCATGTTTGCTACTGGATTTAGACGAGTTGGAGGGGGTGAGGACGATGACACTGGAGCGATCAACTAGATCACAGTCTGAATCTTCATCAAGGGATCGATTCATGACTTAGATGGGAATATCGTGTTCAAGTTGGGTGAAAAGGGGTTGTGCTGACTTGTTGGTGACTTATGAGCCAGTTCATACGACAGGAGAGTATGAAGGAATTGATATGTTTATATTCTTGGGATAACATATATAAAGGCCTCCAATGTTATTAACCAGATCAAAGGGACATTGTGACTAGTCCAGTAACGCATATGTGAATAGCCTGGCAACATCCACTCAAGTTACTTGAAAGGCGTAACTGCAGGCTGCCGTCTGCCCATGACGCAGTTATCCGCTACGGACGGCCTTCACTATTCCACATTCCCTTGTTCACTTCCAAACCAGCTTCTGTGTTATATATTATTCATATACATAGACATTAGGGGAGAAAGAATACCGAGGCTAGACATAAGGCAACACATGGTGTTTTCCAAACACAACCACGACAAAGGCTTTATACACTACACCTGAAAACACAATAACCTTGACAATCTGGCTATACTTCATGCCAGGTATCCAGAGGTTCACGTAGGAAGAGCACAGCAAATTTAATTAAGGATGGAAGAAATAAAATCACTAACTTTTATCACCTCTCGATAGGTAGTCTACCTAATCCTACACAAGCTCCATTTGTAAGGTGATGAACCTCACTCATCTCGACTTTCATTTTCAAGAGGTCCCCCCTGCTCAACCTCCTTTCTTTTCTTACCAACATTTGTTCCTTGCCCTAGATCAATGGTGGGGGATGTAATTCGGGTGGTCTTGACCATGGGAATCTTGAACGGTTCATTGACATCACCAACTCTGATCGCTGACTTGTAGCGGTCTGGAATAGGAGCGGGCTTATTTATATCTTCTGCTGGAAATATCTTTACTCCAGTATAAGTGATTAGGCGTAAGCTGGGAGCAAAAACAATCTCAGCCTTAGTTAGGTAAGGGACTTGGGGAGATGGCTTATACTGGCTGTATCTGATGTTGAGAGCGGCTATCTTGACATGACGCTGCCTTTGTAGATTATTGCGAAAGGTCTTTGATTTTGGCTTGGAGTGTTTATCCCAGCACCCAGTGGCTCAGAGGAAGTCCAGCACATAGGCACCAGCCGGCACTGTCAGCTGCTGGTGACATCGAATCAGC